CACGGACACGGCCTCGGCTCACTTTGTGTCCCAAATTAGTTCTTGTCCATTTGCATATACAGATTGTTGCGCTATCTGAACGTGCATTATTTACCTCCAGCGAGCGTATAGCTGATGTTTCACTTCACTGCCTTTCAATTTGAATTTCTGGAGCGAACGTCCTTTCAGAAGCTCTGAGGCTTCACTTCGGCTTGCCTCTTTTGTCATGGTTTATTTCTTATTCAAAGAATTCATTTTTTATTCAAAGAATAACCTCACAGTTGTGTCGCCGGTACAGATGAGAGAATTTCATGGTCTGATCACTCTAACTTCATTCATTTTTACTGACATTTCTGGCTTTATATATATTATATATAATATATATATATATATATATATATTGTATTTTATACTGTATTTTTAATCAAAAACCTTAATAAATCTTACCGGCCCAGATCTAAAGCAGTTATCACTGTCAAATCTAGTCAAGATAAGTATGAAAGATAAATATGAAATGAGATATTGTGAGTTCAAACCCTCAGTGGGTTCCCACAGGAAATCAGCCTTTCCAATCCCAGCATGCTTCTGTCATTGAGACTAAAGAAGCTCAGCCAAAAGCATCCTCACAGCACAGATCAAACATCTCAAGCATCAGGCCGACTTATCTACATGACTGCGGGAGCTTCTATCGCATGTTGTACATCATTAGACTGACATGAGCAGATAAGAAGTGTGCTTCGTCTCATTCAATAACAAAACCTGTATTTCCCCCAAAGACGTCAAATATACACTGCTTTCACAGAAATACCAAATGTAAAAAATCAGCATGTGCTGAACTTATAATACATAAGTGGGTTGTGATTAGTGGTCGATAGATTGATCGGTTTTGCAGATTAATCAGCACCGATAATGCTGTAGCAATCGGTTATCTGCAAAATCCATATGGTACATTTTCATGGGTCAGTACTGTTTGTTTTTTTATATACTTTTGTAATAAAGTTCATCATTTTATTTAGTGTTATGTTTGTTTTCATTCAGTATCCATTTCAATCGGTTACTTAATCGGTTTATCGGCCAGTGCGGTCCAACCCAGTTACTGGTGAAAAAATTAGACGACTTCTAGTTGTGCTCATTTGTTTTATGTTGATTTAATATTTTAATTGATTCTCCATAAAAAAAATAAAAAAAAATCAATGTGTGTGAAATACGAAACCCTCCATCACCGATTCCACAAAGCCACAAGCTTATGATACATATTTATGATTTCACACCTCTGGCCTTTAGAGGACAGATAAAGTCTTTCATCCATTTTTTATCCATTTTATTCTGAGTTCTTGCCAGAGAGGATCTGCGCTGTGGCAGGTGTGTCAGATTCACTTTAGAAATCTGAAGGAGAATGCAGTGGCTTTCAATGGCTCAGTAGGAAAGCAGCTGTTCCAGGAGATTTCTGGGAAAAAGAAGAAAAGAGCAGCATTCTTCCATGCATCTTCGGATCAGCTCTGAATGCATACCACCCAAATGGGTTCTTCAACGGCTGATGGTGTAGATATGGATAGACCTAACTAGCAGGATAGACGTTATAATAATAAACATATTTATTTTAACTATAAATTTGCATTTTATGAAGAAAAGATGCTGTGAGTAGTTGCTATGTCTATGGGATATTTTTTTTGTTTGTTTTGGGGGGTTTTTGTAAATTTTTTAATCACCCACCACAAAAAAATTGATCGCCTCGAAAAGTATTAGCCACTGCTATAAAAACTGCAATAAAAAAAATTATACAAATTCTATAGACATATTTTAAATATAATAATACAACCACTCTTAAAATTATATTATAACAAAACAACAAAAATACTAAAATATTAACTAAAATTAAAATGAATATAGAATATATAATGATAAAACTAAATCTAAATATTAGTGGAAACTACAATAGTATAATATAGCATATTAATAAAACTAAATAAAACCAAAATAACACTAGCACATGAGTTAAGTTCAATTCATGCCCATTTTCAAAATAATATATGAAAAAATTATATTAAATATGAACAAACGGTGAAATAAAATGAAAAATAATTTTTTAAAAGCACAATATTTTCTAAAACGGTACGGTAGATTTAGCTGTTGACACAAAGGTTAGTTATAACACTTCAACAGCCAAGGTTATCGGGAGGTGTATTGACTGATGCAGATCTTAAAATGACCGATATATTAGAATAGAATAGAATGCTGAATGAAGTAGAGGCTACAATCTGCAATCATTAAAAACAAATTAATCCACTGACTGATTCCAACAACGAGCTAAAACCAAGTAGGCCGAAATCAAACAAAACCAAAAGAGCTGTCAAAAGCCCTGCACGCTGAAAACAAATGAAACCAAACCGCAGGGGATCCGTTTCTCCACAAGTCAGGTGTCACGTCTGGATGGAGACTGATTGTGAATCGCCTCAGGAAACCAAAAACCAATTTAGAAAGACTGACAGCGTTTAGGCTACTGGCCCACCTCGAGGCGTTTCAAAACAGGACCACAACCACAACAGAACAGGAGCTCAGCGCTTTTATAGGCCTATTAAAACAGCATCAGGTGGAGCCTGACTGTCAATACTGACTGCCCTCAGGGAATCACCGGAGAGCTGGGTGTGCCTTCAACCACCCATATACACATATTTCACAAACCCCAGAAACAAAGAGTCAGGTAACAGAATGAGCTGCCATCCATTTGTCTGCTGCTTTTCCTTCAGCTCGGGTTGTATTTTCCTGCTGAGTGGCTGGAAGATACAAAAAAGCAGGAATTCTGAGGGATTTCTCCTTCTTTTTCACTTACGCAACATGCCTGAGGAGCTTATGGCTCCCTTGGTGGCGATCAATGAGGGCATTTTCTTATTAGTGAACAAGACCGAGCTTTTCAACATCATTTACATTCCCTAGGGAGCTTAAGTGACGAAACAGGAGGGCAAGTGAACACAAAAGAGACTAAACTTGAGGTGGAAAGCAGCAGACGCTTCAGTATGTTCTTGCTGGCCTGCTGAGGTACACAGCCAGATCTAAACACTTGTGAAATGCAGGGTTTTTCCACACAATTAAACCAGAGCTGTGCTCAAAATGAAAAATTTGCTTCCTGCCTACAATTTTTAAGAAATATAATACAAATGATGCAATAAAAAGTCATTCAAATAGTGGTATGCAGCACTGTTGTCACATGACCTCCTTACATTGTCCACTGCTGTCCAGGAATTGTCTTATATGCGTTAAATGCAAATAAAATGCAATAATTAAAATAAAGTCAAACAAAATGCAATGCAATATATGTCATCCAATGCAATAAAATGCTGTGCAAGAAAATAAAAACAACAGAAAGTAAATAATGCCTTACCGAGACCGCAAAGACTTCCTGAGTGTCATCCAGCATCTTGACCCGGATGGAGACCTGTCTGCCGGGGGGCATGGTGGGGGGCCTCTGACCTGGCTCCAGCGTACTGATGCCCATGCTCTCAGGGGCCCCAAGCCTCTGGCCCGCCACTGAGGGCCGCTCCTCTGGCTCCACCATACTGCTGCAAACCCACCTGACAACACAAATAATTTAAACGTTTAGGCTATATGACGGCCAAAACACACAGACTCTATACTTTTCTCTAAAGGTGGTCTAGTGATCGCAACGGACGTTTACATAGTTTTCCTTTTTGCAGCTGGAATTTCAACCTCGCGCTGCCCTGGAAAATGCCAAGGAGCATGGAATGATTTATGATTCCTGAAATGTGTATTTCTGCAGTAAACAACTTGTGCTACTATAGCAATTTCTCACACACATCTTGATTTTAACCCTCATTCTGCCAGACTGCTAGTTATCCAAATAAACATAGCTGTTAGTTATGACTAGCTCAAAAAAATTACGACCATTGGTAAAGAAATGAACCATACAAATCAACCTGGCAGCAACAGGTCAGGTAAATTTATGTTTCGTAGACATACTTAGTGATTTCATTCCCATCTTAATCTGTTTTTCCTCGTTCATCCTTGCTAAAAATTAAAACAATGGCGGAAAATAGTTTTTCAACTCTGAGAAATCAAATCCTGTCCAGATGCAATGTAATAAAAAAAATGCAATGCAATAAAATGCAACAATATGCAATGCAATACAATGTTATGTCATTTAATGCAATTCCATGTAATAATATGAGATGTAATTTAATGCAGTAAAATGTGATACATTTCAAAGTGATAAAGTGCAATGAAATTCATTGCAATAAAATGCGCTGCAATGCAATAAAATGCAACAATATGCAATGAATTCCAATTCAATGCAAGTCAATGTAATACAACGTTATGTAATTGAATGCAATTCCATGTAATAATGAGATGTAATTCAATACAACAACATGCAATGCAATGTTCCCAAAAAATCCAATTCAATTAAATAAAATGTGATGCATTTCAATGTGATAAAATGCAATATAATGCAATTCACTATAGCAAAAATGCACTGCAATACAAAAAAATGCAATGTAATAAAATGAAATGCAATGCAATTGTATGTTGTATACATGTTTGTGACTGAACTATTACACTTTCACAAAAATCTTCTTGAACTCAACAAGGTCTTTAATACTGTAGTGACGGCTTAAAGTCAAACAATAAGCCCATCATCTCTCACCGCTGAAAAATCAGAGTTTATGGGTTTAGGAAATCATTAGGAAGGGTTTAGAGGCATTAAATCCAGGGATTTCTAACCCTAAAAAACCAGATCGCACACTGTACCTCCAAGATAATGACTGGATTATAAGCTTGCACGGTTGAACTTTTGTACACATTAAGAAGCAGAAATGTTCATTAAAGATGGGGAATTCCTTCAACTAAGACACTAAAAACAGTTTTTACTAGTTCTACTGGAACTGTCCTCATGCTAACCTGTTTTTTTAAAGAACTGAGACTTAATGAAATTTGCCCACTTACATCTAAACCCTGTTACAGACGTCCTCCAAAATATTCCTTTTTAGATGAAGTCTGGGAAGGAGAAATGCATGACGTTTTGAATGACTAGGTTTGAAGGGTCTAAATTATACAGAATTATATTTGACTGTAAAAGTAAACAGCACAAAATAAGTCTGACTTCTATTTGAAGTCACTGGAGCGCTGCCTCCTCCGATAGGAAGCGCCATTTACCCTCATATAGAGGGTTATACAATCAAATTTGTATTATTTCAGTGAACATCAATCTATTAACAGCAACAATAAACCACAGATTTAGTCTTTGCTTGTCAGCAATTTGGCAGATGTTCTGACACTGATGTCGAGTTGTTTTCTGAATACAAAAATGACTATAAACTATGATCATAAATAAGAGCATAAAATAGTGATGGACCAATATATAATATGACAGATTAATTGATTAATTTAGCCATTATGAGATAATGGACATGTCTGCACGACTAATTTAATGGAAAGTGTGTCATGATTTACATAATTCAATTACATTTTTGGGTGAACTATCCTTTTAATAGAAACATTTGTTTCACGGATAATATTTTGAATATAAATCCTGGTTAAAATTAAATATATAAAATAAAACCTACATTGGCAAAGCACAATAAAAGCAAACAGCTGGTCATATTGTTTCTAAAATGTCAGTTACTTGATATAGCCGTCTTGTTTACTGAACTACTGAACTACTGAATAAAAACAATATGACTGTGTATTCAGTGCAGCAACCCTTGTGCTTGGGTGATAAATATCCTTCATCTGCCAGCCTGTTCTCTAGACATCAGCCAATGAAGAACCTGTATCGCTCAAACACAAGATAAAAACACATGTAGCTGCATTGAATGAGTTACTACAGGAATCCCAGATGGAAAATGAGCCAAACCGCACTATTGAAGCTGATGATATGTGAGGAAACACACACACACACACCTCAGCAGATCAAACGTACAAACGGTGCGTTTGTATCAAAGAGAGACAAGAGACCAATTATCCGCTCGTAGCACTGAAAAGCTTCTCCTATGACAACCAGAAGTGGTTTCCATGGAGACTACACTTTCAATTCTTCAACAGGAACCTCAGAAGTACAGTACAAACATAACATAACAGGAACATGTACAGTAGTGCTTCCTGGTGTTTACACAACACAAACACTGCCATGAGGATTCACATACTGGAAACAAACATGACACGTGAAAAACCCCACTGCAGCACAACAAAATGCAATGCAATGCAATAAAACATCCACTAAAGAAAAATAAAACAAAATGCAACGCAATACAAAAGAATACAACATACAATAAAGCTAAATAAAATGCAATGCAATGTAATGAAATGGCACTAAATGCAATGCAATGCAAAAAAATGCAACGCAATAAAAAGCAATTTAATGCAATGCAATAAAATAAAATTCAATGCCATGCAATAAATGCAATGTAGTGCAAAAGAATGCAATAATATAAAATAAAAATGAAGAGCTGAAAGCAAACAGTGCCAGACACAAAATACCAGACACATTGCAAAACTATTGATGTTGAATTTACTCTTTCTCTCAGAAAAGTAAATTTCACAAAATTACAAATTAGAAAAAACTACAAAAAACTAAAATAATAATAATCCATTAATCACAGTTTTTTTCTTTAACCTAAAAAACTGCAGTGTAACTAAGCCACAATAAAACAAAAAACTAAAATGGGCAAAGACTGCGGGGGCGACAGACTGCACAGACTGAACTAACTAATACTCAGTGGCTTGATCACTTCTCTAACACTGAGCAGGAGCAGCAATAAACAAACACATTCCAGCACTGATTGAATCAAAGAATCACATTCCTCACCAGCACTTAGATGTGTGATAGACAGATGTGTCTGGACTGGTTAACAGGCATGAGGGGGTTTCTGCATCTACACTGCCAGAAAACCCCTCTGACTCAACTAACCACCATCTCAAAGACCCTCTGAGTCTATCTGTGGCATTATGATAACAGTAGATCCAGAGGATGTGATGTTAATGAGGTTAGAGTAGATCAATAGAGCTCAGCAGACGTTTACAAAGCTTTGTTCAGCACGGGAACAAGAGAGCGAGGGAGATGTTCACTGTAACATGAGCTTTCCTGCAATGGAAGAAGTTGGTTGTGGCTTCCATCTGCTGTTTGACATTTTGTGTGACAAAGAGGACTGCGTTATAGATGATGAAAAGAGAAGCCAAAAACATTGTTTTTCAAGGGCCACTGTTAAAAAAACACATAAAAAAATAATACAAATAAAATAATAAAAATAACGTATTTTACATTTTTTTAATTATTAAATATAATTAAATAAATATTATAATAAAATACACAATTATTGAAAAGACAATACACAATCTTCTTAATAAACATGAACACATAAGCTAATATTTATTAATCTAAATAAATAAAATATAACACAATAATATACAAATAACTTAATAAAAACGAAGAAATAAAACTATGTATTTATTAATCTAAATAAATAAAATATGATAAACCTGTTTTACCCAATTTACTTAATAAAAATAATAATAAATGAGCAAAAATCTATTTATTAATCTAAACAAATACATAAACTAAATAATAATAATAATAAATCATTTTACACAATTTAGCTACTTTCACAACTTTCTCAATTTTATTTGTTGTTTTGTTTTTTAAGATGTATTATCCATTGACAAATTTGTTGGTTAGCTATACCAATTCTGCAAATCACCAAGTGGTCATTTTATTGGTCAACACTGATAATCTTAAAACAGCCAGATTTAAGCCGATTTAATGGTGTGCCCAATGTTATCGGTCCTTCACTAAAACTTAAGAGTTACCAACCAATAATCTTGAAAAGACCAAATACTGGCAGATTAATCTGGCAAAATGACATATCAGTAAATCAACATTACTTAATCAACTAAACAGAGATAGTTAGCAGTTGATCATCTCAAATAATATCCGATTTATCGGTATTGCCTTATTTATCAGTTTATCTCTAACACTTCTGTTAACTGACCATCTGGGCACAGTTATCAACCAACATTACTGTCAGGTACTGGTTAATAATGACTAACAAAAGCAAAAGAGACTTAAAAGAAAAAATAGAGCAAGAATAGTGATGAGAAGAGAGTGAACGAGATGGAGAAAGACCAACAGGCTCCCATCAAGTCTTCAGGGGCCGGTCCACAAGCACAAACACCGCAATAAAGGGGCCCATTCTTTCCTGTCCCGGGCTGAAGTTACTGGTTACACACATTTTAACTGAATGAGTAATTGAGAGGCGGCTCCTCAGGGACCTTTAATCCCCTTCGACTGGCAGTTTCATTACCCACCCAAAACCCACTCGTTCGGGACAGAGTCTTGAGAGTCTAATTTATGCATTAACCAATGAACGTCTGCCGCTCTATTAGCCAAGCCTCACTGTATACCGGAGCGGCCCGTTAATTACAGAGAGACCGATCACGAAAACAATGCAAACACAAACAGCAGGATACAAAGACCTCTAAAGAACTGGATTTCCATTCAAACCAGAGCCATTAAAACCCACTTACAGAAACATGATGACAAATGCACCTTCATTATCT